CGAGAGGTGTGAAGAGAATTGTCCTGAGGCCAAATGTATTATCCACATCAATTGTACTGGGTAGCTTCTGTTCTGTTCTTTAACTTCACAAAACTCAAGTGGTCTGGTTGTAGCCTTATACCCCAATCAAATGCACCAGGGGGAAAATTTAAAGCTTCTTCTAAATACCACAATGCCATGTTTTATCCACACTTGAACCAGAATTTGAAAGGAGAAACAGTTTTATTCTTTAGGAATTAAGTATAGTGAAGCCATAGGAATCAAGGGAAGCTACCTCCACATTCTGGAGCTTACATTTTGTTTTAATGAGAGAGGTCACGCCCTTACAAGAGTCCTGCCTTAATAAATGATGCTTGAAATGTTACTCAGCTAGTTTAAAAAAAAGTGGGAGTAAAAGAGTGATTAAAAAGGAAATATACTAGATCTCAAGAAACCAAACCGATAAAAAAAAAGTCTGAGTAGGAATCTAAAGGTTATTTTCTTTTCTTTCTATTATTCCCCCCAAAAAAAAACAACTCTTCAATATGTAATACAAAGACAATATTTAGTACAAAGATAACCTTAAGAAATGGTTTATTCTCTGTTTAAAATATGAGTTATTTAAATGAGTTATTTAAACAGAGAATAAACCATTTCTTAAGGTGTTTCTGGCATGCTCAGGTATACTTGCTTTTCAGTTCAACTCTTTATCATCATAAACACAAGAAATGCATTAATTAATGCCCTTTGAACTGACCTTAAGCTAGGCACTTGTTCCTGCTATAAACATATTCTTAATAAAGACACTGACATGGATTTATATGTACAGATCACAAAGACAGGGCAGAAACATTTAATCAGATATGTAATAGAGAATGGAGTAACAGTTTATACCAGTCAAACACAAGTGCATGGAGTTAGTAGGAGAGAATGCTACTAGGCTGGAGCTAGAAGAACTAGATTCAAATCACTGGGTAGGAATATATATACACATACATACATACATATATATATATGTATATATATATGTATATACATGTATATATATATACATGTATATATATATATATGTGTAGGAATTGCATTAAATAATCTCTAAGATCCTTCCAGACTCTAAGAATCTGTGATTCTATTTTAAGATTAGGTAGCCAAGGAATGGGGACCAGGGACTACCTACTTAGGGTGATGTTCAGATAGAACTGCTTCATCAAAGTGAGGAGACAAAATTCTTGTTTTCTCCATTTGCCCTAACACTTGCTTACTCTACTTAAAACTACCAAGGCCAAACAATTGCTAGGTATTTAACCCAAGAACAGCTAAAACTGAATAAGGATTGAAAAACATCATCTCTTGACATTACATTGTGTTATTTCATTCATGCATCTGTTTGATGCAAAATTATAAGCATCTGTTTGATGTAAAGCACTGTGCTATAGAGATTATACAAATGAATGAGCAATTGCTGTCTGAACTTAAAATCCAGTAGGTTGTCCTGCTCAATAAGGACACAGATAACCAAAATAAAATGGTGAAGATCCACAGGAGAGCTACAAAGCCCTACAAAGGAAGCATAGCTTCTGGCTTGGAATCCTGGCCCCCACTTAAATGTATGTGACTCTAGAAGAGGTTAATTTTCCTTCAGTTTCTCATCTATAAAATGAGGATATTAGTAGTACCTTATTCATAAGGTTGTGAGAGGATTCAATGAGATAATAGGATAAAAGTGACTTAAAATCATCTCTGATACACAGTAAATACCCGGTAAAAGTTATTATTGTCATTATCATGGGAATTCAGAGTGGTAGATTTGACTTAGGAAAAGGAATATAACTTTCATCAGGATATAGTGTTAGAATTGGGTGTTGAAAGATGGGTACATAGTTGGATAACTGGTACAGAAGAAAGGAAGAGGAAGGGGAAAAGAGAGGGATAAGAAGGAGAAAAATCCTTGCTATAGTAAGAAGTTCAATTTGGCTGGAGTAGAAAGTTCCTTAAAAGAAATGATGGCTTGAAAAGCAGTTTGCAGAAGCTAAATATTAATCACAACTTTCTTTTCTATTAGTTTTCCTTTATCCCCAGTCATGTTCTAGAAATTAGCATTGTAGTTAAAAACATATCAAATGTTGTTATTAATGCACTCAGTATTAAAGCCTATATGAGTAGATAAGGCCAAGCATCTAAATCCAAAGACCTTATGTGTTTTTTTCTGACCCTTTCTGAAAGCAACCTGTCAAGTCTGAAAAGCACTAAGAATTCTTAAGTCGGAGAATCAGAAAACAAGTCTCAAGCTAGGTGAAAGTCACTTAACATCTCTGGGCTTCAATTTCCTCTTATGAAAACATATACTACTGTTACTTTAGGATAGATGGATAGAAGAAATATTGAGGTCGTAGGAAGGCCATTGCAGGGAGCGGAACACTTGCCAACCTCTTTGGCTGATACAAGACACAAATGCAACCATGGATGTAAGAGCACTTTACATATTTGTATTATATAAAACATAAGTTCTTTTTATTTTTGAAGTCATACCAACTTAGATCTGAATCCTACCTGATCCAGTCATTTGCTAGTTCTATGACCTTAAGGGAAAATAGCCAGAAACTGCTATGCTCTTCACACTATTGCTGGGCTTTCACCAAACAAACAATGTGGATCCTGTAATGGCATATCCCCTCCCTGCATCAGTCACTCAGAAGCATATGCAGGTTCTAATGACATACATTTCAGAAACTCTTGTTTTTAACTCTCATTTTCCCTTCTGGGGCCATTTGATTTTGCACTTTATTTTTAAATGCCTCCAATCCCCACCCTCCACCCTTTTTTTTTTTTTTCCACGAGGCTGATCCTGAAAACTAATTAATCATAAATGTACCTCTTCCATCAGGCCTCCATTTACCTCCCTAAGCAGAAGGTCTTGACTTTTTTTGTATGCCCTGCTCTTTCTAAGTGTTCAACAAATGCTTCTTAAATTAATAATAACATTGAAGAGTCCACAACTTAACTGGCCAATATCAGAAACATCCAAATGCTGTTAGCTAAATCTGGACCCAATCAAAACGAAACTTCATTATGTGTTTTCAGGATGTTGTCTGATAACAGTAATATTTTTAATGTGTTGAGTAATATTTTTAATTTGTTAGGCACATCACAATCTTTTACATTTATCTGCATATATATCATTTGGTCCTCACTGCATCCTTGTCAAGTTGTTTTGGCAGGCATTATTTTCTATTTTATATGTGGGAACACAGACCCAGCAGGTCTGTGGTGGAAGAGTCAGTTAGAAACCAAGACCTCCACTTCCAACCCAGCAATCCTTTCATTCTAATACACTCCCTCTGGTAAATTCTAGAAACAGGCAGCAAAACAACCAAAAACTAAAGCAGTTTACCTTTTCATATGTAATATGTAAATGAATAGCAATGGCAAATGACAATGGGAATGTCTACTAATAAATATGTAATAAGCCTGGCGCAGTGGCTCACCACTCCTGTAATCCCAGCACTTTGGGAGGCCAAAGAAGGCGGATCACTTGAGGCCAGGGGTTCGAGGCCAGCCTGGCCAACATGGTGAAACCCCGTCTCTACTAAAAATACAAAAATTAGCTGGCCGTGGTGGCAGGTGCTTGTAGTCCCAGCTACTCAGGAGGCTGAGGCAAGGGAATCGCTTGAACCCGGGAGGCAGAGGTTGCAGTGAGCCAAGATCACCACACTGCTCTCCAGCCTGGGTGAGAGAGCGAGACTCTGTCTCAAAAGAAAGAAAGAAAAAGAAAAGAAATACATAATAAGCATATCGATCAATTGACAAGATATTTTAAAATGTAGGCTCAATCAAATTTTTGTTTTTAAAGGATCCATGAACCTGGCCAACATGGTGAAACCCCGTATCTACTAAAAATACAAAAGTTAGTCCGGCCGTGGTCGCGCGCACCTGTAATCCCAGCTACTTGGAAGACTGAGGCAGAAGAATGGCTTGAACCCTGAAGGCGGAGGTTGCGGTGAGCTGAGATCGAGCCACGGCACTCCACCCCGGGTGACAGAGTAAAACCCTGTCTCAAAAACAACAACAAAATGGATGCATGCATGGAGGGCATGAAATATTTCCACTGTATTTCTGTTAATCCAACCTCAACCCCCATGAGTCCTCCACAAGGCCTACACTCAAATTATTATAAAGGGACTTCACTATTTGGAGCAGAGGATAGAAAGTAATGTCACAGAATGTGCAATGTAAGATTTATCCCACGTAGTATAAACTATAGATGGGAGTGAACTCCACTCTGCCCCCTATCTCTCCACACTCAACCCAAAGGGTGCTTCTGATGAACAGCTATCCAAAGCCTAAATTTACTCCTTATTTTGGACAAAGGTCAAATGTAATTATTGCTGATAAAATGTTGGGCTTTTTTAATCCCTAGGTTGTGATGACAAAAAAAAAAAATTGCCTTGATAATATTCCAGTTTGTTTTTCTTGAAAAAGTCGATGAAGCAAAGAGGAAGTTACCTCTTAACTTATCTTTGATCAGCGCTACCAGTCATTTCAAGATCACTAGCTCAACCTTCCAGAAACGAACGGTTATGAAAGTATTCAAAGAGCGTCTCGGGCTTGGCACAAGTCCCTGTGCCAGGCAGGACGGAGATGGGGGTGTTCAGCCCCTAGTGTGCAAAGCACCCGACCGCGGGTCCATCCCACAGGTTGGCGCCCATGGGATAGCAGCTGGGCAGGGGCCCTCCGGCCGGTCCGCGGCCGCAGGGAGGATCTGCGCGGACATAGGCCCGGGGGCAGTGACCTTAACAGCCCCTCCACTGCCCAGGGAAGGCTCAGGATGGTCACGGGATTGGGATAGTGGCGTGACAGTCTCCAGGCGGCCCGGGGTGGGCACCGCCCGGGGCAGAGGCCAGTCAGCCCCTCCGGGACCCAGGAGAGGCTCAGCAGCGCGTGGGTCTGCCCTTTCCCCGGCGCTTGCAGTGACCCGCCCGCAGCGCATCTGGGGCCAGGCTCGGGCGAGCGGCCAGCCCTACCTCCTCGGTGGCCGTGGGACAGTAGGAGATGAGCACGAGCGTGGTGACCACGTTGACGGCGAGCCCGAGCAGGGTGATGGAGTTAGGGGCCATCCAGAGTGGGATCCACTGCAGCAGCCAGGTCCAGTAGAGCTGCAGCGGCGGCTCGAGCAGCGAGACACCCGACGCGCTGTAGCGGTGCTCCTCCAGTCGCCGCAGCTGCGCCGCGCTCAGCGGCTCGCTCAGCGCCCTCAGCCAGCGCGGCGCGGGCCTGGCCCCGGCGCCTGCCGCCATGGCCGCCTGCGGGCCCCGCCGCCGCCACCGAGCGCAGCCCGCGCCTGGTATTGGGGGCAGGGAGAGGCGGAGGGAGGGGCTGGCGGCCGGGGCCTGCGCCGGCCGGGCTGGACTCACCGGTCGGGCCCGCACGGCGGAGGTCGAGGTCAAGCCGGGCTGCCCGGGTCCCGGGGCCCCAGCCCCGAAGCGGTGGGGCCGCGGGTGCGGCTCGCGGGTGTGGCCGAGCCTCGGGGAGGGGTCCGGCTGGGGGCGGGGCGGAGGGGTCCGGCTAGGGGCGGGGAGGCGGTCGCGGCGCTCGCGGGTCACCCTCGGCGCCCGCCAACGGCAGCCTGTTATTGGCGATCCAGGTCCCTGACTCCCCAGGGGCCGGCTGCACTGCGCCTGAGGTCTGATTTCTTAACCCGCGGCGTCCGATTACGCCCTGAGGTCGTCTCCTCGCGGGCTGCACCGCGACCTAGCCGGTTTCTCTCCTAGGGGTAGGAACACGACTCCTGTCGCCCAGTGTCAACCGCTGCAGGACCGCGCTGCCTGCAGAGCCTGGGGGTTTTCGTGTGAGAACACAGTTCTGCAGGTCTGGGGTCACCGGGGTGACGACCCCATCTGTCCCGCTTGGTAAAACACATAAGCACGATTCTCCCTTTCTGCACGGAGGAAGGCGGCCCTGCCGTGTATTCGCCCTAGAAACCCCTCACTGCGGGTTCAGAGACCAAGGTTTTGAAACTGAAAATCAAGGCTGAGAAACACTAAGAAGGAGACCGAATGGCTGAAATCCCAATACCTATTTTCTTCAGCGCATTTGATACCAACAAGGGTGGATATTTTTACACATGCTTTTCCCTGGAATAGAGGTCAGGAACCTAGGAGTGTCCTCCCCCTGCACGGGGGAACAGGCTGGCTTGCCACACGCATTGGTAGGTCACCGGCCCCTTATCTCACAGTGCGCTCACTTGGACAGGGGACATCTGTCATAAACATGTTCTGTTGCACAACCTGAGACAGGCCTGTCTCTTGCTTTGCTCTTCACTTCATGGTTCTGATCTGCACGCACTCTCTAAGGCCTAGGACAAACCAGAAATTGCTTCCAAGACACTTGTGTGGTGCAGCCTCTATCAGCGAGTGCAGTTTGCCTCACCGGCTTAGTCAAACACTTGGCACAGGGGTCCACAAACTGCTGCCTGTGGGCCAGACCCAGCCCACCACCTGTTTTCCTACAGTCCTCCAGCCAAGAATGGTTTTGACAGTTTTAAATGATTGGAAAAAAATCAAAGAATACTATTTTGTGATGTGAAGTTATATGAAATTCAAAGTTCAGTGCCACAAGTAAAGCCATGTTTATTCCTTACATATTGTTTGGCTACCTTCATGCTACAAGGGCAGCTGAATTCAGTTGTGACAGAGACCATATGGCTGGCAAAGCCTGGAATATGTCCTCCTAGGCCCTTTAAGGAAAAAAGTGGCAACCACTACCTTAGAGCAATGAGTGTGTCTACAGACCAAGAGTCTATGTTTTAGGAATGTGTACCTCCTCATCTTTAATGGGTAAAACAATGCTGACAAATGCAGGAAAGGAAATGGAATGATGGAGATCCACTTTTAACAATGCCAGTTTATGTGCAGTGAACTTGACAGTACCTACTTTTTAATTTACCAATGCCATGAACAGTCCAAGGAAAAAATCCTTTTCCAGATTAGCAGATTTCACTATATTAAAGATAATTTTTAATGTTCATTGAAAGACATCATCAAGAGAATGAAAAGACAAGCCATAAACTGGGAAAAGGTATTTTCCTCAAAACCCACAATGAATAGTACCCAGATTATGTAAAGAACTCCTAAAAATTAATCAAAATAAAAAATACTCAACTGGGCTATGTTCAGTTTCTATAGGAGAAGCCCTGGAACATGGTAATGTTCCAGGGTGCACTTATGAACATGAATGAATTGCACAAGCATATGTTGAGTGGAAAAAAAAAGCAGATGTATTAGTCAGCTTGGATTGTCATAACAAAATGCCATAGACTGAATAGCTTAGACAACAGGAATTTCTTTTTCACAGTTCTGGAGGTTGGGAAGTCCAAAGTCAAAGTGTGTTTCTTAGTGAGGACTCTCTTCCTGGCTTGCGGATGGCCACTTTCTATGTCCTCACATGGCAGACAGAGAGAGAAAGAGAGGAAGCTCTCTGGTGTCTCCTTATAAAGTCCTTATAAAGGCACTAATCCCATCATAAAGGCCCCACCCTCATGATATCCAGTATCCTAAAGGCTCCATCTCCAAATACCATCACATTGTGGAGGATGAGGGCTTCAACATATGAATTGGGGGTGGAGCGGGGGCAGGATACCATTCCGTCCATAACAGCAGGTCATAGGCAAAATGCACACAGTATTATTTTACTTATATAAACTTCAAAAACATGCAACTGTACTTTGCAACTCCCATGTGGCAAAGTTATGAAGAAAAGGGAAAGAATTGTAAGTACAATCCTGATAGTGGTTACTCCTGATAGAAAGAAAGGAAATGCAATTGTAGGCAAGTTTCAAAGGTATTGGTAATTTTTTAGAGTACAGCTAAGCAAACTACAGCAGCCTAAATGGAATAGAAGTTTATTTTTCCAACATCGATGTCTGGGTAGGCATGGTAGGGCTACATGGCAGCTCGATGGTGTCAGAGACACAGTCTTCTTCCATTTTATTAGTCTGCCTTAGGATGTTGCCCTTGTCCTTGTGATCAAAAATGACTGACCAAGACTCCCAACCAATTGGAAGGGGAAAAAGAGAAGGGGCTGCTATGCTCCTCTCTTCTGAAGGCCATGATGAAAGGTTGCACATATCACTTCTGCTCTTATCCCACTGGCCAGAACCTGGCCACATGGTTGCTATGCCAAACTGTAAAAGAGCCTGCAAATGCAATCTTTAGACAGCCAGCCACCTGCCCAGCTAAAATTTCTTTTATTTATTTATTTGTTTGTTTATTTATTTATTTAGAGACAGAGTCTTGCTCTATCGCCCAGGCTGGAGTGCAGTGGCGCAATTTGAGCTCACTGCAACCTCTTCCCAGGTTCAAGAGATTCACCTGCTTCAGCCTCCTGAGTAGCTGAGACTACAGGCATGTGCCACCATACCCAGCTAATTTTTGTATTTTTAGTAGAGATGGGGTTTCACCATGTTGGCCAGGCTGGTCTCGAATGCCTGACCCCAAATGATCCTCCTGCCTTGGCCTCCTAAAGTGCTGGGACTACAGGTGTGAGCCACCACAACCGGCCAAAACATTTCTATTATTATTGAAAAGTGAGAGAGTGGGTATTGCAGGGGGCCATCAAGCTGCCTCAATCACAGTTTTTTAACTGAGTAGTAGTAACATGTTCATTTTACTATTATTTATGCCATCTATATAACTATATATCTACACAGATATAGATGGCATGGTTGTATATTTTGCAAATATGAAATGTCATAATTTAAAAATAGTGAAAGCAATAAATATAAAAACCATTTTTAAACTACTCATCATGCTCTAAATTGATTTTTCCCTGTGCTTCTTTGTTGAATTTTTGGAAATTTCAAATTAATTCAAGACATACTAAGGCATATTTATTTCTTCTACCTTACCCCACTCTAAAGTCAAAAAAGTATATTAGAGATTTTCTACTATTTTATTTCTTGCATCATGACTCCCCTCCATTTTCATGGTTTATTATATATAGTGATTGATACACACAATGTTTCCCTTTTTTCTTGAATTAACATGGTAGCTCACATTTATGAGTTTCTATCCTATGCCAAGCACTGTTCTAAACATCAGGAGTTATTTCAGTTACTCCTCAAAAAACTCTGTGAAATAGACCATTGTTATCCCCATTTTACGGATGAGGAAATTGAAGCACAGTGAAGTTCAGAAACTTACCCATGGCTCACAGCTAGTATGGTGGATTCAAGCCCATGTAGTCTGATTTCAGAGCTTATGTTCCCAATGACTGCAAAATGCCACCTAATAACTTACATGTATTAAATATAGGACTTTGGTGGGTACTTTTGTCAATATGGAACAGTCCAGTTTCTATATATGATGTTGGTTTTGTGCCATTCCAGTCTATTCTAAATATTATGAAAAAAGTTATTATACTAAATTTACTAAAACTAATAATATATTCCCATGTTCAGAAGCCTTTGATAAAGTCCAGCCTCCCTCACATGGCATTTGAGGGCCCCGTCTACCCTACTAGTCTTACCTCCCTAATATCTCTTCCCCCATTCTTCTCCCTAAGTCTCATGCTCCAGCCGCGTGGGCCCACTGGCTGTCCCCAAACCCACTCTCACTTGTTCCCTGTTGGGCAGCTGTCGCTAAACCCACTCTCACTTGTTCCCTGTTGGGAATCCCTTATTATTCCTGTCACATTGCCCATCACTCAAGACTCAGCTTAAATTCCACCTTCTCAAAAATGAACTCCCAGATTCTTCCAGTTTGATCCCTCTTACTCTCACACAACAGAGCACTTTGTAGCTTGTAATGCAGGCTATCTTTGTTCAGTTATTTGTGTATTGATCAGCCTCCCTGCCCAGGTCATAGAGTGTCAGATCAACCCTGCACTGAGCGTGCTCCTCAATGCCTGGCATCCAGTAAACATCTATAATTAAAAATATATATATACTTTAAAATGATTACAGACACACAGGAAGTTGCAAAAATAATACAAAGAATCCCTTGTATACCCTTCACACAGCCTCCTCCTATGGTAACATCTTACATTTCCATAGCACAACAGGGATGTATAAATGTTTATTTGATGATTTAACTAAATTGAATTCCTTTTCCAAAGGAGAAAGAACATCTTGATTTAGGATCTCGGTTTTACTACTAGTTCTTCTGTGTCACTTTCACTCATATTTCAAATCTTCCTTAACATCCTCAATCTCTAGGCCAACTTTCCACAAAATATTAAATCGTGTCATATAGGCAGATTAGGCACTGTTGTGTGTGAAACCACCAGTTAGAAGCCCATGGACTTTCCCTGGTTTGGAAGAAAGAGTGGGTTGCAATAAGAAATCACGTGGCTAGAGGCCGGGCGCAGTGGCTCATGCCTGTAATCCCAGCACTTTGGGAGGCTGAGGCAGGCAAATCACTTGAGGCCAGGAGTTTGAGACTAGCCTGGCCAAAACGGTGAAGCCCAGTCTCTACTAAAAATACAAAAATTAGCCATGTGTGGTGGCATGTGCCTGCAATCCCAGCTACTCAGGAGGC